AAAAAGAAAAAAAAAAACAAAAGAGAAGTGCAGCGATTTTCTCCTACAAGGACTTTTAACAATAACATAGGGGCAGATGGAGGGGAAGGGGAAGAGGCAAAAGTAAGGGCAAAAGACCTGCAAATGGTCCACAATGTGGAATAGGAAATTGGAATGGAATCGGGTTCTTTAACATGCACAATTTTATACCAGCTAATCAGGTACTGTGTCATTTTCTTTTATTGTTGATTCTTTTAATTTTTCTTTTTTTTCTAAACTTACTTTATTTTGTATTGTTTACAGGAAATTAATAGACACGGTGATCAGAGCAATACACCAGTACAAACATCAATGGTTTGTGAGCTTTAAATATTTTTATTTTGGTAATGTTGAACGTACAAGCTTCATTTTGGTGCATACTTGTTCGTTTTCCTTATTTCAATGAGGAGTGATCACTAATAGTTTATGATGTATTTTATTGTAGTGGAATTCGTATACGGGCCCTCCAACTATTCCACCTTATGTAACAACGAGCAATCCACCGCAAAAGTCACATATTCAGGTTTTGGCTATAAAATGTTTTATTTTACCTCATTAATTGGTAATAAGTTTCTAAGAGTATGATTTAATTACGTTTTTTTTTATTTGATGTGTAGAGGCAGGCTAGTAGATATGGTGATGTATTTTTCTCCAGTCAATCATCTAGCAACAACTTTGCAGTCATTAGAGATGGAAATGAGGAGTTTGAGTTTACTGGTTGGGGAGAAAAATAGGCTACTTATGTTTGTTTTTTGTTTTGACTAGACCGTTTGAATTTTTATTGGACTAGCTTATATTTTGGTTTTGAAAACTCTATTTTGCTATGACCAAGTATGGTTTTTGCTATAGCCAGGTGAAGCTTAGCTCCTAATTTTGTATCGAAAAAATATGAACATGGTATTTAATATGAAAAATATTGCTATTTGTGAGTATATTGTATAGTTCTTTATATCACGTATGATATATTTAATGTAAAAAGTTGCAATATTTTCACACACTATGTACAGAGACAAACACATTAAAAATTGAAATATTTAAGGTTGAATCATTTTCAACAAAAAAAATGGAAAAAGGGATAATGTGGACGTAAGGGGTATTATTGGTATAAAACCTCCAAGCTGTCAGTTTTTCAGTAAATAATGTGCCACGTCAGCAAAATCAAGATTTCAACCGTCAACTTATTAACAGAAGGGGGAAAGTGGTACATCTCATACATCAGGGGGGTAAGTGTTACAAAACCCATACTTCAAGGGTGTAAACTGTATTTAGCCCTATAATAAATAAATACTATTTTATTTTTCCAAAAAAAAAACATGTGTACGGAAAAACGTATATGTAGTAGATACGTCACAAGATCAAAGTGAACGGTGGATTAGTTGCTGTATTACTGCATGGCCACGTGAAAATATTACGTCATCTTAATATTCGAAACGTAATGAAAGATTGACTGGTGACGTCTTACAACGACGTCGTTTCACCAGCTGGAAAGGCTTCTGACTCTGAGCTCTGATTGACGTGTGTGGAATCTTCAAACGGCGTCGTCTGAACGTTGGGCTAAATAGCATAGGCCCATACCCATATAATAATAGTATTTTAGCTATATGGATCCAAATAAAACTTTCGATCCGGATCCTACCCGATTCTTGATAATTTCCAGCCCAAATTAATAAGCACTGATGCTTTTTAAACAATCTACAAAAATTAGACGGATCGAATCGAAATTCTTTTTTATTTCCAAAAATAAATAAATAAAATTTCAATATGAATAAAATTATGCAAAAATTGGGATTATTCACTATTTAAATCTACAATTTATAGACTATTATTAAATGTCAATTTATCAGAACTAACCTATACTAGCTTGCCATATTATAGTTTGACAAATGTGAGGTTGATGCAACTTCTCACAAGGGTATATTCCTTTTTCTTTTTTTTGTTTGTGCCCCATACTTTTCAAAATTGCTTTTTGAGCCCAACAATTTCAATGTCACAAGGAATGAAGCATAGATTAAGTTGGCAATTGGGAAGCAACCTTACACCACGTGGCCACTATCTATCCCTATCTCGTCCTCTCTTATCTTGTCAATACTTTTTATCTCATTTATCCTCATAACCTCGACTTTGTTTTTCCATAATTGAGATTCAATCCTATGAATGAAACTTTTTACCAAAGGGAAAATCGGATAACTCCCCCTAAAGTATTTTGTATAGCTACCAGTCCGCTCGAAATTCCACGAGACAACCTACTTAGACAGCGTAGACTGAAAGTAAACAGTTTAGAAAATATAGATGTTAGATAGTTTAGACTGAAAATAAACAATTTAAACTATAAATGAATAGCTTGGTTGATGAATTTGAACTGAAAATAGACATCTTAGATGAAAATAACCTTTTTACCAATAATTTTATGGCGGAATTTAGGCGGTCAGTGGCCAGATACTAGTAGGGAGAGACGGAAGAATGGAAATATGTTTTTTTTTTGGAATAATAATTTATTTTCAGTTTAATATGAGTATTTTATGTCTAAGCTCTCAAACAAAAGTGACCGAAGGACTTTTAGCAAAATGTGAAAATATAGTTCTTCTAATTTAAAAGGTATTAGTGTATAGGAGTGTTTAGCAAAAACTAGAACTTATAAGTTGGCAATTTTGCTAATATTGTAGCAACCTTTTGTACACAAGGTACCTCCGAATATAGTATTGTTGAATATAAAGTTTTTATGGAGAAATCACGTATTAAATCATATTTTAAAAATATTAATTCTAAACCTAATAAAATTAAATATTTTACTAACTAAATAATTACTTGGTATAAAACCAACACAATCCAAGTGATAAAACTCAACAAATTCACTTCTTACATGAGAAACCTCAAAATCAAGAATGGTATTACATAATTAAAGAAATGTCACAAAGGTGTACACATACTAACTTCATTTAATTTTTCTAAAATATGATTAAAAGAACAAATTGAAGAAAAAGAAAAAAGAAAAGATAATTGTGAAATGATAAAGACAATTGCAAGTTGCAAAAAGAGGTCAATGTACGATACATAGAAGTGGGGCCCACTAATAAGGTAACAATTAGTTGGGCCCAACCCAAGTACTTCCCCCTCGTTAGCCCATTTAAAATCCGTACCGAGCGTGGGGCCCACGTTCTTTTTCCAATAGTGTGGGCCCTATATTTTATCTCATTATACTTTTCAACTTGCATCAATACCCTCCCCTACATCTCTACTTTCAACTCTCATTAACTAAATAATAATAATAATAATAATAATAATAATAATAATAATAATCCTGGCAAAGAAATATTTTTTAGCAAATTACGGCTACCCCTGAGATATGGTCAAATTATAAAAACCCCCCTTATATTTGCATAATTAGAGTCACCTCTCAACTATGTATTATATTACGAAAAAAATCCTCAGGAGGTAAATTTAGGGATGTTAAATCGATAAAACCAAACCAAATTTTTAGTATGCCAATATTTCATACCGTTTACCAAATTAAATATACAATTTGGTTAGGTAAATAACCGAATTACATAAATTTGATGTAAATTATTTAAAATGAGAGGGTGGTTGTAATTACCCAAACAATAGGTTTTTTCGTAATTTGACCATACTTCAGAAGTGGCCGTAATTTTCCCTAATTTTTAAATCACTGACAAGGGAACTAGACCACCTAGAAGTATCTTTTTTTTTTTTTTTGAGTAACACGTAGAAGTATCTTAACTTCACGAGAAATATAAATCACACTAGACTAATTATATATAACTCGGTTGGTCCAAAAAAAAATTATCAAAACAATTGACATCACACTTTCTTGCTCTAAAAAATAAACCACATTCGAAGAAAAATAAATAAAGAATATATTTAACTGAAGTGGTTATCTTATTTGGATGCTTTGTGCTTTCACTTTCAGAAGATGCTTGAAGCTCAAACTCTATTAATTTCTTGTCTTTGTCACTAAAAAAAATGGATATATGTAAATATACTTCTTATTAAAATATAAATATGTGTGACATTGTTCGTAAGAGTGGCCTGGTCGGTGGAATAAGAGAGTGCTTGCAGTTTCGAGTTCGACTTCATTTGTTGGTGTTTTTTAGGTTCAGTTTGTCACATAAAATTCGTATTCTTGTAAATTTTATTTGTAGGTAAAATGTAGAAACTTTATTCTTTCACAAAAATAAGAAACAGTTGAAGACCTTTATTTTCCAATAACTACCACTTAGGAATATTTTCCATTTTTTGTTTTTTTTTTTTTTATTAATCATGGATATAGTGGAATTAAATACTGTGGAGTGACTAAGCTACCAAAAAAGGGAGGGGGGGGTGACTATTTAATTTACTCAATTTTATATATATTTTTAATTAATTAAATAAAATTTAAACCGAATTTCATCAATTTTGTTGTAGTTATATATGTTTTATGATTTCAATTAATTATGTGGTTACTTTGAGTTTTGAGTTTAAAAGCTGACTGATTAGTAATTAACAGTGAGGGGGGTGGGAGTGGGATGGCACTAATCATTCAAGGGCCAAACTGCAAAAACGGCACAAATTCCAAGGGGCAAACTGCAAAAAGGGAACAGATTTGCAGGGAGGAAAAAGCAAGTAAAGAAAGTAGCACGTACTTCTAGTTAAATAAAAGAACTCCCATGAAATCCACATGGCATCTTATTATTGGATGAAACCCTTTCCAAATATTAAGTTATCCCGAGCGTGACATTTCTCTCTTCCCCTTAAAAGCATATATTCCTCGTATAAAAAACTAACAAATTAACATAATTTAATAATTATATTAATAAACATATACCCTAAATTCTCTTTTTTTTCGTTAAAAGATGGAAACAAATGTTTAATTAACGTACATAAAGTATGAGACAAATATTTATTTAAGTAAAAAGTTAAAGTGGATCACTATGACAATTTTACTCATTATGGTTAAATATTTTTTTCTACATTACCACTATTTTTACGAATTTCAAATTACAGTGTCAAATTTAGTAATTATATGGAATATTCTTCAGTTTGTACTAATTTTATCCTATTCGAGCATCACATTTTGAAACAAGATGATCATAAAACGTGTCTATTGGCTTGTAAATATTAAATTTACATTTCGCGAAATTCAGAAGATTATATTAAATTTACACCATAAGAATAAATTTTAAGAAAATTAATAATTGAAGGAGGTGGTTGTAATTATGAAAATAATAGAGGTATTTTCGTAATTTGAGATAACCGGCCCCGGGTTATTCTTATAAGTTGGTCATGGGAAACAACAAAAGGTTGACACTCTCATGTTCTTTTTAACCATTAAAAACAGTGAAATTACAGAGAGCTTTTCCAGAGCATATAATAACAAAATGTGATATCATTATTTAATTAATTACTTAAATTATTACAAATTTACTTAGAAAATATTTTGAATTGTTGGAGTCAAGTTAAATAAAAAAAGTTACTGGTTTTTGCCGTAAAGGTGTAGCAACCAGCC